CTATACCTACGCGTGCTCTTTGTGAGTTAGTATTTACATGTGAAACGACATTCTAAAATACACTGGCTAAGCATTAGTTTTTTGTAGGATGCTGATGGAATATGATTGTACAAGCTACACTTGTAATCTCATTTTTGTGCTCTTATCATTTACCTCCATCAATTTACAGTTGCTCTTTCATTTGTCATTCATAGCCTTGAATGGTCTTCAATTTCTCTTTAATATCGGGTATCTTGCAAAAGCGTCAAGTTAATTCCCAAAATAGTTACTTTCTTCTTTCATGCATGATCATATTTGTCAGAGTTTTTTCAGAAGTTCATAGCGCAATAATTTCTCACCATTAACTAGTCTTGGCTGCATAACTGGAAGGACAGCTATATTGTTTACATCATAATTATTTGATTTATGTGCTGAGTTATTTGATGGTTCCATATAAGGCTAACAAGAAAACAAGGAACCGAGCGTACGAGATTCTTGTCAAGATTGGCCATGCTTGTGCAGATGAAGACAAAGGTGGCAGAAAGGAGCACCTGCATCAGTTTTTTAATATGGTATGACAATTATAATCTGATGAATTTATGTAATGGAGTAGGATCTTTCAGTTTGACATAAGCTTCATTGTCGTTGATGTTCCGCTGGCAGATTGCTGGGGGTCTTGCCGGGGAAACACCTCATATGATCAGTGCAGCGGTTAAAGGCCTTGCTCGACTGGCTTATGAATTTTCAGACCTTGTTTCTGCTGCTTACAGTGTCCTACCATCAACATTTCTTCTCCTTAAAAGAGAGAACAAAGAAATAATTAAGGTGTGTTTTTGTCTGCATTAAGACACTCTTCGAATTATGTTCACCCGCCATCTTATGGATGTCAGCTGAAACTTGTCTTGAATGCAGGCTAATTTAGGGCTGTTGAAGGTACTGGTCACAAAATCGACGGCCGATGGATTGCAAGCACATTTAAGGAACATGGTAGAGGCCCTTCTTGGTTGGCAAAATAGTACCAAGAACCATTTCAAAGCCAAGGTTTTTGCTTTTCTCCTAAATTCTAAACTTGTGGTTTGAGTTGGTTTTGGTTCCTGTATGCAATTACTCAATTTTCAGTGGTCTTCTCTAATTTTGTTTGTGGAATTTCTTTCCTGTTATGAAAAGATTAGATGTTGATTGAAAGGTGGCTGGGTGCATGTTATGTTTGACAGGTTAAACTGCTTATTGAAATGCTTATCAAGAAGTGTGGATTGGATGCTGTAAAAGAGGTGATGCCTGAAGAGCACATGAAACTCCTTACTAACATAAGAAAGGTTAGTTATGATCTGGACTAGAACCTGTGAAAATGCTAGTGTGATATTAAATGTTCAGATGAATTATTTATTCTTCTGATGAAAATGTAGATCAAAGAGCGAAGAGAGAGGAGCCTCGCCTCGAATTCTGAGGAAAGCAGATCCCGTATGACAAAAGCAACGACATCAAGGTTGGTTTCCTTTCCTCCATACCTACATACTGAAGTTAAGAAGAATATGCACAAGAATATTGGTAGGGATGGTAATGGGTCGGGGCATATGTGTGGCGGGGTTGATTTAAGGCTATGTGGGATAGGTTGAATTTTTCTTTTTAAAACTATGCGGGGCGGGGTGGGTTGCAGATATTTGTGATTTTATGCGGGTTCATAGTTAATTTTAACTTTTTAAATGTAGAGTGATAGAACATTATTTATTAAGACGATTTCTTTAAAGCTACTAAATTATTCAAGATAGTTTATGAATATGGTTCAATAAAAAATAATACAATTTGTTACATTATCTGTTAAATTAACACAACTTTTTAAGTCATTATTACGTTATGAACTTCTAAAAACATTCGGAGCAAAATGATCATGCATGAAAGAAGAAAGTAACTATTTTAGGAATTAACTTGACGCTTTTGCCAAGTTACCCAATCTTAAAGATAAATCAAAGACCATTCAAGGCTATGAATAACAAATGAAAGAGCAACTGTAAATTGATGGAGGTAAATGATAAGAGAACAAAACTGAATTACAAGTGTAGTTTGTGCAGAATCATATTCCATCAGAATCCTACGAAGACTAATGCTTAGTGCCCAAATATTTTTTTACGTCATTATCTATTAAATTAATACAGCTTAATTAAAAAATGAAATTTATTTTTATAAATTTCTAGAAAAAATATTAAAATAATTATGCGGGGCGGGTTGAAAATGAAAAGGGTTGTTATGCAGAGCGGAGCGAGGTGGATTAAAAATTTTGCGGGTTAAACTCAACCCACCCCATTGTCATCCCTAAATGTTGGATGAACACAAGAATATTGGATGCCTAATGCATGGTGAAGCGACTAAAACATATTGGAGTATTTTATGTACCTTTGCTGGGTTGGAACAATTTTTTATCATGAAACAAATATTTGCCTATTTTTGACCGTCTCTGTGTTAATGATGAATCTTCAGATCATTCCCAGTTAAGATGGACAATGACTCTTTGGTCTTCAGTCTTTTGTAGTTTGTATCACATGGATAATAAGTCATTTCAATGCCTTGGTATCTTGTCAACTAGTTATAGTACCTGTGGTATTAACTTTTCCATCCTGTTACAGGCTAAGCAGATGGAATCATACAAAAATATTTTCTGAGTTTGATGATGGAGAATCTGAGAACAGTGATGCAGAATATATGGACACGAAAACTACTGCTGGTCGTAGGAGCAAGGCTACATTAGTATCAGACTCCAAAGCATCTTTATTACGGTGAGTTTGAATGTTTTAAGATGTTATGTCCTACAGTACGTAGGAAGTCAAACGTAATTTAGTTTAAAGGAAATGAATGATGCTTTGTAGCTTTAAACTATTTCACATGTAAGATGAATGGGTGTATGTCATATTTCCAGGTCCAAGAAAACACGGAAAGCAGCCAAGAGTTTGCAGGAAGATCTGTTTGATCAATTAGATGATGAGCCACTTGACTTACTTGACCAGAAGAAGACCAGGTCAGCTCTTAGAGCATCTGGCAATCTCAAGAGGAAGTCTGAATCAGAAGATGAAGCAGAAATAGATTCTGAAGGCCGTTTGATTATTCACGATGGAGATAAGAAGCAAAAAAGAGTTAAGCCAGCTTCTGATGATTTAGATGTAAGAAGCAAAGCAGGGAGTCGCTTTTCAGAGAGCTCAAGGAAGACTCAGAAACGGAGGAGAACATCTGAATCAGGATGGGCTTACACTGGAACAGAGTATGCGAGCAAGAAGGCAGGTGGTGATGTCAAGAAGAAAGACAGACTTGAGCCGTATGCCTACTGGCCCCTTGACCGCAAGATGATGAGCCGGAGGCCTGAACATCGGGCAGCAGCACGAAAAGGAATGTCAAGCATTGTGAAGCTAACAAAGAAGCTTGAAGGCAAGAGTGCATCATCTGTGCTGTCCGTGAAGAGATCTAAGACTAAAAAGAAAAATAGATCATAAATAGAGGATGAAGTCGAAGTCTGATTTGATGATACTACGTCATGAGGGAGAGCTCTGTCCAGAGGCTTGGTAGTTTTTGTGCCATAGTTTGTAGTTGGGGATTCTGGATATCCAGTACACCCATGTTTTCTTTCGTGTCCTTTTTCATTTAATTCATCCATATATATCACCTTCAACAGGTGATTTGTTTTTTTTGATAGGGTTGTATGTAGGAAATAGAGTGTACGTATGCAAATGCATTCAATACAAGCTACTTGAATTGGTGAGTTATTGGTAATATATAACATTATTGCAATATGCAATGACTTAAAAGTATATCCGAGTCTTCTGTATTATACCAGTAAATTTTTTGATTGTATTTGATATTTTGCAGTTTCAATCAAGAGGGTTTCTTTTTACACCTTGTTTGGATGGTTGTTATCCATTGTATTGTATTATTAGTTTAAACGGAAAAGGGTTTAAAATACCTTCGTAATATTGAAAATGATACAAAACTATCCTTCATCTATCTATTGGCTCCAAAATATCTTTTTTATCTACCTATTGGCTCAAAAATAGACATCCACCTCTGGGTTCAAAATTAACCACTTATTTTGACGGTTTTAAATTTAAACCATTTGAATATTTTTTTAAAATGCTTGGTGCTCAACTATTGGATATAATTTAATTTATTAATATCATTTATAAATCAACTCAATACTCACCCATTACTAATTAAACCCTTCCCAATTAATAAACCAATTCTAATATCAAAATCACCCTAAACCCTATTGAAACACGACGAAATTACAGATTCTTGAAAATGACATTCAAAATTAGTCGAGTTCGAATTGAAACTCAATTAAATTTAGGTTGAGACTTCTTATTTAGAAGGACACTTTTAATAGGATTCTCTTTCAAGCTTAAATTAGAATTTTATAACTAAAAGTAAAGAAGTAGTACATTCCGAATCAATTAATGCGCTTTTTTAAATATTACTTTATATATATTTATTATTTGTTTTAAATATTTAAGCTTTAATATATTCTTTTTTAAAAAGTTATCTATTAAGCAACATCACATAATTTAGACGAATGAATAATTAAGATGAACATAGTCAAACTTTTAAGTTTATAAGTTTTTTTAGTTAGACAGTGAATTATAATATATTTTGATTGAAGACTTGAATGTATGATAATCTACTTCTATAGACATTTTCGTCTCAAATTTTTATAAACAATCATTGGCAGTAGCTTTTCCGTAGTTGCATTAGTAATGGGGCTTATCGGAAATTTTGACCAAAATGAGCTATTTTAAAAAACAATTTACCTAATTAATACGTTTTTAATTTTTTTTTTACAAAAATAGTATAAACGTACTTTATGGTAAGGTTTTAGGCTTTATTTGATTTTAAAAAAAATAACACCGTTAACTTAATAAACGTTATTGGCGGTAACGTTTTTATATTAAAACGTGACAACACCATATCCTCACTAAACGACGTCACTTTGTTATTAACTTAAATGTTATGTGGCTGCCAAACCCTTTCACCCCTTTCACCCTTTCAGCCCTTTCTCTGGAAAAAAAAAATTGGCAGCCGCCATTGTCACTTTCTAAGCCTCCATATTCCATTTTCGATCGGTAATTTGTGGACGAAGAGGAGGCGTGAAAGAACAAAAACACAGGAAGACAATGAATGGATCAAAACCTCATTTTGTGGATAAACGGTAGCAGTAGTTTTTCCAAATCAATTTTGGGGAAATCTTGTTATATAGAGTTTCACGATAAATTGCGGCTATCAATCTTCTGGAAAGCTTGGAATCAAGTTAATTTCCTGTGTTAGAGCCTTGAGGTATGTTTTTTTCCCTTACAAACTAGTAGATGGAATGCTTGAATTTTAGAATTTCTACCTTCTCGTATTTATATCGTTTTGATTATATGGAATAATCACTCAAGAAATTCTAATATGCATGTTCTGTTTTTATTTTGAATTCATGCATCTTGTTGATGCAAAGAGAAACAATGAAAAGAAAAACAAAGAAAAAAAATGTTCACATGAAAATGGAAGGAAGACTATAATAGGTTGACCTGCAATGCGCTTCTACTGAAATTGAATTTATTTTTCAATATTTTAATAAAGCATTTGGTGACAGTACATTACTTTGATTTGGTTGTTATATTTTGGACTAACAATTATATTTAATTTACTTTCATATGGATTTTTCAGTTTAATAGATACGTATATGACTGGTTATAGTGCATATCGATTGGATCCCGGTCCACTTGAACCATCGGTACTAACTCAACAACTTACCCATAGGTCACGGGATATATGGAATGGAAGTGTTAATATGATTTTAAATACGAGGAGGTGTGATGGAAAATTTTGCGACCTCGTAAAGAAATATCCCATTCATCCACGAGTCTTAGAAATGATGGAATTATCAGGACTATATGGTGTTTATAGATCAAATCGACTTTCTATTGATCGTAGCTTGATCACTTCACTAGTAGAGAGATGGCGTCTCAAGACTCATACATTTCACTTTAGAACGGGTGAGGCGACAATCACCTTGCAAGATGTAGAAGTGTTGTATGGCTTACCTGTGAATGGTGATCCAGTACTTGGTGATGAGTCGATAAGGACCATAGGGGATTGACAAAATATTTGTCAAAGATTGTTAGGTTTTATTCCACGTCCTCAAGACTTCAACCGTAGTAGCCTCTAGGTAACTGCACTTAATGCGCATATGCTCGAGCAACTACAATTACCTGACTTGACAACACAAGAAATGATCAATCAAATGGCTAGATGTTACATGTTTTGGATGATTGCTGGTATGATGATGGCAGATACATCTGGCAACTATCTAAAGCTTATGTATGTAGTTAGCTCTTATAGTTGGGGTAGTGCGACCTTAGCGTGCTTGTATCGCTTTCTCTGTAAGGCCTCACAGAGTAACCAAAATGAGATAGCTGGCTTTCTACCACTGCTTCAGGTATACTTAATAATTACATCAATTCTTTATAAATATTTCTTCTAGTTTATAATATCATAATTATATATTTATATATTATGTTTAGATTTGGGCATGGGAGAGAGTAATCGTCCTCAGACCTCAGGTAATAGCACAAAGGGACATCGAAAATAATTTTCTTGCTTGTTTACCTAGGGGTCCACGTGCTACTAGATGATTTGCACATTTTAGTTGGACTGATACCACTAAGCATGTGTTGAAAGTTTTTAAGGATGCACTTGATTCCATGACAGAGGATCAGGTAGGATGTTATACTGTTTTTCTTTAAAAAATTATGTATATATTGTAGTTGAAACTCATACATTTTTCTTTATGTAGCTTATTTGGAACCATATTCGGATGACTTAATTGAGAGTCTTCCTGATTATTGTCGAATTGAACGAGACATATGGCGTGTAAGAGCTCCAATTTTTTTTGGATATCGTTGAGGTTCACTTGCCTAATCGAGTTATGAGACAATTTGGATTAAAAAAACGGTACCAACTTCATTTCTATTTGACGCCACACATTTTCACCATGATCGTAGGGGCAGACGAAATATATATTGGAACTTGGAGCATGCACAATGGTTGCCTCTTTGGAACCAACGACTTCAATATGTTTGTGATGCTCCGGTCAATCGTCAACCACTTCGATATGACGACCCTTACCTTATTTGGTTTAGACGCATTACTCGTCTTGTTATTGGTAATCCTACTCAGCGTCCTTAACAACAAGAAGGTTATGTGACCAATTCAACGGCATATGAAACAATGGTATGTATTAGATTTAGTGTGTTTGTGATTTATTTTTTGAGGATAATATTGCTTCTTCTTGAAAAATGTGACTTGGAAAATTGTTACCTATGTGTGTGGTTAAATTAAGCTACTTCTTAAATGGTTAACTTAAACTACTGATTTGCACAGCTCTTTGTGCTGCAGTAATATTGATCTAAAATTATCGGATTTCGAACACTTTCCATTCTAATGTTGTTGAAATTAATGTTGGATACTGTCCCAAATCCTCCTTGCCATGTCTTGATCCTAACACCATTGTCTGAATACTTAATAGTTGAATCTTCAAATGTAATGTTGGATACACATGCCCGGGAATTGAGAATGCGTAGACTGCCAATGCTGAAAATTACGCAAAGACAGAGTCTTTATATTCAAGCTTTGGGAATAGGGAAAGAAGAAAAAGACAGAGTAGACATCTTGTTATGGGCTTAAAAGTGTTGTTCTTTTTTGTGTGTGTAGTGGTAGGGCATACCTCTTTCACTCTAGCAGTTTTGTTAGTTAATGTGCCATTTTTTTTAAGAATATGTTTGTGGTGCAAAATTGATTGTTTACTTTTTTGACATAAAAAGATGGTGTGATATTGCAACATTTGAATATATACCTTATTCCATGACTTAGATTTAGTGTGTTTGTGATTTATCTTTTGAGGATAATATTGCTTTGGAAAATTGTTACCTATGTTTTTTCTTAAAAAATATAAAATTAGTGCTTTAGTTTGATCTTTGTTTGAGCATCTGTTAGAAAAAAGAATGGAAAATATTTGTAAGAAAAAAAATTGATCTTTGTGTAGGTGCGTCATATTCATTCCATGGTTGATAGAGAAAAAACCCTTGGTGATCAACCATTAATGGAGGATTTATACATATTTCGTGCAATGGTCCGAAATGAAGGAGAAAAGTGCTTGACATATGTGCACAAGGATGCTAGGATTAATGTACAAGCCGATTATAGAAGAGATGAGGTACATGATGATCATTTACATCATCCGGTTCGTAGGCGAGGAAAAGGTGGTGTTGCCGGTAGGAGGGCTCGTGCTGTTGAGAAAGGACGAGCGCCTATTGAAATGTATGAATCAGTCTTCGAAGATGATCACACAACTTGTGATTTTGGTTCCATTTCAAGGGGCCAAACTCAAGAATTCACTCCCGGGGCATCAGGTATGACGTATCAACCAACAAATACTGATATTGTTCCATACACGGCATCACAAATATTAAGGAATTCTAGTTTTTCATCACTTGAGAATGTATTTGGTGGTTCTCGACCTCAACATTTTGAGAATGCCCCCAACTTTAATTCATCACTGGGCTGCCAATGTCCATTGAGACCCCTGGCGTTGTTAATCATTTAGAGGACTCCAACGATGAAGTGGAGAATGCAAACGAATGTGGTGAACCATCAGTGAAGGAGAAGCGTAGGATTTTTCCTAAGCGTTGTGGGACTGGTACTATTAACATCTTTATTTTATTTTTTTGACATAAATACTCCTCTGTTTAGTCGAACAACTGAAAATTATTCTTGTTTGTCAGGGAGTCACTATCTTTACCAGCATGGCAAAAAAAAAAAAACCAAGAAACGAGAAACAAAGAACTGTAATTAAAAGGTTTCAGGTATCCAAATTTGGTACTCCTTGTTAAATTATTGTTTCTTCCATGTTTTGGAGTATGAGGAAATTTAGTTTTGTGTGTGTCTAAGGAATCAATCATATTTTCTTACAATGACAGTTCTCTTTTGCTTTGAAACTTTGCAAAACTTGAGATCTTTCAAGAAGAAACGTTCTTATAGTTGATTTTTTTATATCTGCTGGACCTGGGATAGTGCTGATTTTCCGAATCTGAAATGCTTCAATTGTTCCAAGTTAATTTAATGTTTGTGTTGTTTCACCTCTCGATAGATATTGAAAAATTGATTTGCGTCGAGTTTTAGCCTTTTGGAAAACTGAAATTCTTTAGTTTTTCCAAGTTATTTGAATGCTTGCGTCGTTAGCCTTTTAGATATCTTGGAAATTGTTGCTTTTTGTGTGCTAGCAAATATAAGTTTTAGAAATTGTTCCATCCATACTGCTGTACATCAAGTTTCCATCCATACTGCTGCTGTACATCAAGTCTTCTACAAGACCTAGACAAGTACAAAAATTTGGATTTGTATAAAGACTAACCAGAAACTTAATCTAGCCAGTCTGGGATGTCATCTATGCTAATTACAGTATCATTTTTATGCCAGCAAAATAAATTTTGTAATCAACTTCTCTTTCCCTGAAAACGTCTCTTGTTCCTTTGTTGCCAAACTGTCCAAATGATGCATAAAGGAATAAGCTTCCGTATCATATTGAATTCCCATGTCTAAAAATATTGAATTCTCATGTCTAACAAACAGTTAACTGTTGTTGTACATCAACTTTCTTGTAAGATGTTTAGAGTCTCTGATGACACGACAAAGAGTAGCAAAAGTTATTTGGGCAGCCAAATGAACATCTGTAAATTCTGGAAATATATAAAAATAATGAAACTCGACGTGCTAACTTGTACCACTGAGTTTGTGCTTTCAGTATAGATTGAGATTCTTGGTGAATGTAACTCATCAAAGTTTTCTTAATCATTTTTTCTTAGTTTGACGCATCTTGTTGATATTCTGGATAACCCTTGGTGAATGGTAGAGATTTTTTGTGAAGAATGAAGCTACTAGTCATTATTTTGTAAAACAATATGTTCTATGAATACATGAATGTTTCAATTATTTTCTATTTAGTTTGTGTTTTTCAAGTATTCCTTAATGTAACTTCAAGTTTGTGAAAAGTGATAGATAACTTTATGCACTAATAATTGAAATATGAAATATGAAATTTTGTTCGGGAATCACCAAGGTTGGCAACAAATATGAAATTTTGTTCAGCTGCAGATTCTAAGTTAATAATCTGAGAATTTCTAAGTTAAGTTAGTTTTTTCCTCTAAGATTTAAGCTTATGTAGTAGATAAATTTATGCACTAATAATTGAAAGGAAATTAATATAAATGGAAATTAACATTAATAATTTTCCTTTATTAGCAATCTGAAAAAATTCACATTACATTAGATAACATAAAGAAATTTAACACCATTAGACATTGACCCACAATTATTCACTTAAATTTAATTACGATTGGGACATTGACGCCTATCATGTCCTGTCTGCCTGCATAATCCACAAGCTCGCTCATACACTGTAGAATTACAATCCATTTCATTATGTATTCTAGTTGTCCTTGGCCGATTAGGACGACGATAGAATTCATTACTTCTCATTGTAAAACATGGAGATGGCCAATATGACTCATGACCAATTGGTGAGAATGACCCAGAATATGTTGCAACATAATTCTCTATTGTGAAATGCTCGCTAACAAAATTTCTAGCTAGCCCTCCCATTCTATCAGTTACCTTCATGACATGTGAACACGGGAAGTGCAGATTAACCCATTTTCCACAATCACATTTTCTTTCATTTAGTGAAACACAATGAGGATTACCACCAGTACCATCAACTTGTATAGATCTAACCTCGTATACTCCTATGGGTATATTCCAATAAAAAAATAAAGTGCCTCTTTGAACTTTCATAATTCTTCTCCCACTTTATTTTCAATCTCCCGGTTCATAATTCATTTTGCTCTGCAAATTGGTGTGCTATTTGAGACCTACGGGTATACCGTTCAATAGTTTGCTCCAATGAAAGTCTAATCATAGCAGTGACAGGCAAACCTCATGCTTTTTTCAACACTCCATTGAATGACTCTGAAAGATTTTTTGTCAACACTCCCCATCTTTTTCCATCATCATGTCTAACAGTCCATTTATCCAAGGGAATTTCCATGAGGTATGCATGTGCTTCGATATTTTCTTCTTTAATTTGCCACATCATGGACTCAAACTTCCTTACTTGATGGGGTGAAGCAGCCCTCCACATCAATCTGCTGAGGTCCTTGTTTGGAAATTTAGATTGAAAGTTACTCTTAAGATGTCTTATGCAAAATCGATGGAAGACTCGAGGCTCTTGAAATCTCTGCAACTCCTGCAAACTAGTCAAGATTCCTTTTGCCCTATCATATATAACACATACGTTTGTTCTACTTTTTAGCATATGTGCACTCAAATTCCTAAAATACCATTTCCATGCCTCTTTGATTTCTTTGTCTACAATAGCAAACGCTAAAGGGAGAATGTTATCATTTCCATCAATTCCAACAACAATTAATAATTTGATCTCATATTTTCCATAAATATGAGTTCCATCTACTGAAATAACTAGGCGACATGTTTGGAATCCATCAATGCATGGCTTGAAAGCCCAAAATACAAATTTAAAAGTTTTTACCTCCGATGAACTCATAGACTCTTCGTGTTTCCATTCCACAATTGTTCCATGGTTAAATTGTTGAAAAGCTGCAAAAAATTTAGGTAGGTCACTAAATGATTTCTTAAAGTCACCATACACCAATTCAAATGCGCGTTGACGTCCAAGCCATGCTTTTCTATATGTCACTTAGTGACCAAAATTTTCATGAGCCTTTGAAATGACATCTACCATCAAGAACTTGGGATTTTTTCTAATTTGATTTAGAAGTAGTGATGCAATCAAATTGGTATTTAGGTTGGCGTGACCGCTAGAAAGCCCCTCAGTCTCACATCTATGGTTTTCAACATATTTTCCTATCTTCCAAAATTTATCTCCAATTTGTCGTCCTCGAAGAAACCACATGCAACCCAATAAATTATAAAACTTACATCTCACAACCCATAGACTTTTGGTAGATGTTACCACCTTGAACTCCTTATTTTTGTGTAAACTCCAAATCGTTACAGCTATTTTCAACTTTTTTTTACTACTAAAAAGCATACCTTTTTTAAAATCTTTTTTTGCTTGCTCAGACCAAACTGAACAACATTCCATCTCAAATTCACATGTAGACATGAAAATGTCTTCCTCATTCTCTAATGTCCTGAAATAGGGTATGTCATGAGACACATCCTGATCATGATTATGAAGATTTACACCATTTTGAGAAAAATCTCTAATATCATCGATATCTTCATCAGGTTCACTTTCATCACCATCTTTCAGAGGTTCATCTTCCTCCGAACTTTCATCACTAATTTCAGCATTTACATCATTATATAGATCAACGTTGATATTAATATCTCTGTAAAAAAATATTAGTCAAATTCTAGCAAAATTATAAATATACAAGCTTGTTTTAAAAGCGATAATAAATATTCTAAAATATTATTTCTTCTATTTATAAGAGATAATTTGTGTATACTGACAATAAACATTATCTTATTAAATTGTTAGACTAAAATTTAATAAAATAAAGATTTGTTGTTTACCTAGCCTCATATTCCATGTAAATATTATCAATATGCATTTGACTACTTGAGCCTTCACCAAATGATCGATGATCATGCATCAACAATTGTTGAAATGGTGGTTGAACAATCGGTTCTACAAAATGAGGTTGATTGATCGTGGTAAGGCCATAATTTTGAGCCAACAAATTCATGTGATAACCATGATGACCACTAACTTGAAATGCAACATTTTGATCTGTCGATACAGTCTTTACATACATCTCCAAAACATTTATATCAATCTTATCCGCAAATCTTTGAGGTATGAAAAGAAATTGTAACAAAGATTGGTCATTCTCAATTTTAAACTCAATGAACCTTGTATTGTTACCTTGAATTGAACATAGAAATTTTTCAGAAATATCCATATGAATATTTTCACTATATGTTCCCATTTTCTCATGCAACAATCCAACCAATTCAATGTAGGTAGTTAAAGTCGACATGCTAATAATCGTTCTAGCACATCCAGTATACCTAAATCCGTTCATATCCGTAATTATTTCTCCACCCCAATACAAAGCAACCATCACATTATGTTCAAAGCTCGTCATTTTAATTCTACACATAAAGATAAAATATTTTTTAAAATAATATTATTAAATTAGAAAGATAATTTTAAAGCTATAATAAGAACATAACAAAGGATAAACTTCACTTATTTAATTCATACCTGATGAAATTTTGTGAATATTATTTTTAAAATGGACCACACAAGGAAAAATTTTGCTGAATTATATTTGAACATGCAAAATATTACAACAACATTTATTTATAGTCACTTTGGTCAGTTTGAAAAATGGAGGAATATAACGTTAACAGAGTGTTGTAATTGATAGCAACGTTTTTAAGGTAAAACGTCACTCTGAGTAACGTTTTATAGCTAAATATATTCTAAATTTGCAGAAGTCGAAGGCCCGTGATTGGATTCTTAAGAAACGGGACTCAAAGTAACATTTTAAGTGTAAAACGTTACTCATAGTAACGTTTTATAGTTGAATGATTTGACTCCGCCTTTGCAGGATTGGAGTTAGTGGCCCGTGATTGGATTCTCCAAAAACGTACTCTTGAGTAACGTTTTACACCTAAAACGTTACTCATAGTTACGGTTATGCGTTTAACGTTGCCAATCCGTTAACTTTTTGTCCGTTGAATTTTTATAATGAAAATATCCTAAAACGTTACCATAAAGTACGTTTATACTAGTTTTGTGAAAAAACTTAAAAACGTATTATTTTGGTGAATTGGTTTTAAAAATAGCTCATTTTGGTCAAAAACTCGGGCTTATCGATTGGGTGTGTTGTAGATTGATTTATAAACTATATTAATAAGTTAAATTATAACAAATAGTTGAGAGTCATGTATTGAAAAAATATTTCAATAGTTTAAATTTAAAATCGTTAAATAAATGGTTAATTTTGAACCAAAAGGTAGATGACAATAGTATTTTGGAGCCAATAAGTGGATTGGAAGGATATTTTGGAGTCAATATGTGTATGAATGATAGTTTTGTATTATTTTTTTGATGCTTTAAGGGTATTTTAGGTCATTTTCGATAATTTAAACACAATATTTCTTTTTATAGTTACTTAAATTATAATACAATATATGATACGATACATTATATTATGAAATAATAGTTAACAACTATCCGAAATGGAGTGACAATAGTTAGCAGGCCAAAAATTAGAGTTGTTTACACTCATTATATGTTAGTCTAGTTCTCCAAATTGCGGATAATCTGTTATTCATCCAGCGTTGAACAAGATGTCAAATTTTGATACTCTTCTTATATACAGAAGAAAAAAGGATGCATGAATTTAAGACTTGTATGGAGTGAAACCCAAGTGTTATGTGACTATTTTTACAGCTTCATTGACGGATTGTCCTTTGGCAAACAATATAAAGATAAAAAAAAATGTCTTTCTGCTACAGAGTTTACATCACAATTGGAGCCCTTCCTAAAGGAAAGCAAGCACCCAATAGCAAAAATCTTTTTGTAACAGGGAATACACTGCAACAATTACAGTCCCATCAACATCACCAGGAGCATTGCAACAGAAATCATAAAGGTTCATCAAAGAACTGAACTACTGAGTTAATAAAAGTTGCACATTCTGCACTGTTAATCTAAAGTAGAAATTGAGTTGCAGAGCTTATGTTTGACCCTCACCAAAGTGGAGTCCGGAACCAAAATGCAACAAAATTTTTCAAAAATTCCAAAACGACAATTCAATTAATTACAAAATCAAAAGGACAACACTTTGCAACGGTGTTTAAATTAGATTTTCTAAAATGAGGCTCAAATCCCCACGAGCCTTTTAAGGACAACACTTTTTTTTTTTCGATTTTTTGTATGTATAGTATTCAACAACTATGTAGTATTATTATTATTATTATTATAACAAACCTCAAAATAAAACACAATTTTTTTTTTTTTGAGAAACGCCTCGTAAGGGTCACGGCGGCCTGAACCTTACAAGGCTCATGGGGATTCGAGTCTCATTTTAGAAAACCTAATTTAAATGGCGTTATAAATTATTACACTTTTGATTTCCTAGTCAATTGAGTTACTCTTTTGAAATTTTTTTTGTTGCCTTTTTTATTCCAAAAGTACCACAACATACTGACACATATGAATATCAATGCAACAGTCAACTGCACTTTTCCACCCTTCCCAAGGATTATATAGAAAAGGACGCAACAGCTACAATCAGCTGCACTTTTTCATGCTTCCCATGGATCGAGTAGAAAAGGAACCATTTAAAATCACACGAGTTAATACCTCATATGGTCACTCAACTATACACTCTTCTCTCAGAAAGTCACTCAACTTTCAATTTTCACTCAACTATGCACTTCTTTCTCAGAAAGTCACTCAACTTTAAATTTTAACTCAAACACTCAACTATCCACTCTTTCCTCATCACTCAATCTATTAAATTATTTTTTAACTAACATTTGTTGATATTAATTATTTATATAACAAATCAAAAAATTTTAAAAATAAAAATACCATTTAGTGATCCACCCATGTAACCCGATCCATTAAAAACATGATATGACCCATTTTATTTTGTCTTTAATCCTAATTTAAGGTTTAAGAGAGGAATTAATTTAGGATTAAAGATAAAATAAAATGGGTCATATCATATTTTTTAATGGGTCAGGTTAGGTGGGTGGATCACTAAATAATTTAATTTATTTTTTAAAATTTTTGATTTGTTATATAAATAATTAATATCAATAAATTTTAATTAAAAATAATTTAATAAATTGAGTGACTTTCTGAGGAAAGAGTGGATAGTTGAGTGACTTTTGAATTAAAATTCAAAGTTGAATGACTTTCTGAGAAAGAAGTGCATAGTTGAGTGACTTATAAATAAAAATTGAAAATTGAGTGACTTTCTGATAGAAGAGTGCATAGTTAAGTGACTATCTGAGGTATTAACTCAAAATCACACCACATCAGTTTTTACCATTTCATACTTCAAGAAATTTTATTGATTAGCAAGTAAAGCTACACAAAACAAGGCTCAACTAACCTTATCTGGGAAAAAAGAGTAAAACATCCTATACTCCTATTTGTAACTTCTTAGTTACTCCATTGGTTTTTTTGTCTTGTTTCGATTTGGCTCAGATTTTAAGAAAATATATAAAATTTTTGAATTATGTGTTCTTAATCTAAAACTCTCTTTTAGTTTTGTAATCTTAAACATGTCAGTGAAAAGTTGAAATAAAAAGTTACCAAAAAAGGAAAGAGACATTCTTTTTAAACGGACTAAAAAGAAAAGTAAGACAAGCAAATTGATACAGATGGAGTATTGAGCTAATTAAAAATGACAACATACTCTGCAAGACATTTTGTCAGACTCTAATACATAGAGTAGTTTTAAGCTCTCCCCCTTCTGATAGAGCCTAGCACTCCATTCAATCCAAAGATCATAAACAGAGTGCAAAGGTTGGCTTTGAGTAGAACATTCTGAGGCTTTCTTTCTCCTTGTATTCCTGTGTGTCAATAGTATAACCCTTAGGGTTAGCAGAATTGTGACACACTGAACCCCTCCCAGAGACATTGATGACTTCACCTCCCGGTAGGCGACCTTAATATGGTACTTCCTCTGCCTGAAAAGTTGAGTACATTGAGCTAGTACCTCCCAATGCTTCTTCAAATTTAATATATGAATGTTGCAGTAACACCAATTTTCACAACCTCCCATGAAGCCTAAATCCAGTAGTTAATTGAGGAAGGTAAAAGTGAGGAGTCCACACAGGGTATCTCTAGTTCATCAAGTTTGTATCCAACTATTATGTTAATATTATACATAACAGATGTGTGCTGAAGAGTGCTCATTTTAACCAACTACAGGAGCAAATGTTATAAAACTGTTAGAATTATCACATGATCCATCATCAATTATCCAAGCTCACACTTACTAATTCGAAGCTCTGGTTAATTGAACAAACTAGTACAAAGTCTGTTGCTTTTAGGAATACAATCTAGAAATTCTCAAGGAGGAGCAGTTGTTTCACATCATTGAAATCTGCTTCCTTGCATTTGTAATTCAGATTCCATAAAATACTATTTCTTCTTGGTGATTTCTATTCGTTGAAGCCTCCTTCTGACATTGCTAATTCATTTAGAGACTAATTTCTATTTCCACCTGTCTAATGTAGAATTCACGTGGACTACAGTGTCACTAAAGGCATGCTTAAGCTGTGAAGCAAAGCTCATAATGTGTTAGAGTGCAAACACTTATACTAGCTTAATGTACGGTTCAGTATCATCAAGGCTTAGACAGACTTAAACTTGCCAATGAGTCAGTCCTTAAGGAGAGCCACTAAACAAATGATACATACATTTCTTATTCATGGTTATAATTATGAGTCTTGGACTAATCATACATATTTACATTTTTTTTTCTCCATTTTTCCTTTTTCATTAAGATCTACGCCTTACTTGCGCTTAAAGCCCCAACATACCTGGAATACATAATTAGAACATTTTGGATTTTCTAGTCTCATATTTTTGGAGACACATGTAAATCTCTTAGATCTGAAATTCATCTCTTGCATCTCGTCTCTCTGACAATATTACATGGTAAAATTGAGAAAAACAACAAAAAACATAGCGTAATCCCAAAAGTTGGGTCTGGGGTGGGGTGGGGTGGGGTGGGGACGGTAGGAGTGTATGCAGATGTTACCCAAAGGTAGGGTCCGTAGAGAGGTTGTTCACGAAAGACCTTCAGCTGAACAAACAGTGAAAAAAAAGACATGGTAAAGTTGAGAATGTATTTAAAAATAGCAACATATAGATACAAGGGGAAGAGAAATAACAACGATTAATGATAAGACCACTCGCCTATTTGGAGATTTAAAGTCCCACATTGGTTAGGAAATGGACCGACTGTCTGCTTATATGGACTTGAGCAATCCTTCCCTCATGAACTAGATCTTGAGATTAAGTTAGGCCTATGTGTCATATACATGGGATCAAAAGGTAAAATCGTTGATCAAACAAAAACAGCTTTATAGACAAAAAGCCATAAGTAGGTTTCCCCAGCTTATGGCTTATTTTAGCTTAAGAACCAAGTGCTTTAGAGCTCTTTTTAGCTTATTTAGCTTAGAAGCTGGTTAACCCAGATTTTAAACCCATCCAAGCACACCCTCTTATCTACACTTAGAAACTTCCTATTTCTCTTCAAAAGTAAGGTTAAACAGAATGGTAGTCTTTTTTGGTTGCAACCTTATCAAATATTTTGCCCAAAGAGAGATGCTGGAAAAATACAAAAATATCAAGAAAATGACTGGAGCTTCAAGAGAGCATACGAAATCGAGAAGTCATTTCTACAGCCAAATATATCACATACCGAAAGTATAGAGTTAATACGTCACACTTTTGCTATAAAGAGCTGTTAAATTTCGTTACAACTTCTCTCTTCAATTTGTAATTGTATAGTTAGTGGATTTTCTTATCATGAAGCTTCGAAGGATCTTGTCACATGTTCACAAACGTCAAGCCATAATAGTGTACAGACCAGAAGCAGGACTCTAGCAAAACCTGGGACAAGATCAGGGACAATTTCGGTGTCAAGTTTTTGAAAACATCGGAGTATCAGATAGATAACAAGAGCATGGAGAATCGAAGTTAACTATTATTTATGATGCCCGAAGTTACCTATTCTTATTTGCTTATTCATCCGCTTAACATTTTAGAAAGCAAACACTATACCGCTATGTAAAAGAAAACTTTCAAGAACACAAGACTAAGTTGCACGGACTCTTCACTTACAATGCTCTACCATGTTACATTCTCCAAAATTAAAAATACACTAATTTTGGAAAACCCGACATGCACCTGTTGACATTTTTGAAGAGTCCAAGCAACATAGCAAAGACCAAGTTGCGCAAACTCTTCACCTTTGATGCCACACCTGTGTCAGATTCTCCAAAATACACAAATTTTGAAGAATCTGACACGCACCCATTGACATTTTTGAATAGTCTAAGCAACATAACACAGAGACGGTATGAATAAGGATTTAAAGTATATATCAGTATCAACAATTAGAGGATAAGCCTGCAAAAGGACTGTTCTGTACCTTTGCTTTCCAGAAGTAAAAAATAGTGTGATCCACAGGGAGCCGAACATGATCTTCAAGATGAACTCCACTTAAGGAGGTGCAACCTCTATTTTTTCAATTAACCATGGCTTCCTGGCCTCCCAGCAACCACAGCTGCAGTTTGTAAATATTCCCATAGATTTGCTCAATCCAGTAGTGAAAACAAGAGACAATGTGAAACTGGAACTGAAGTAGAAAAAGAAACTTACATTTGCTTGTAATCATTGAGAAGAACCAGAATCCAAAAGGAAGGAATGCAGGATGGCAATTCAGGTGGCCAAACCAATTGGGCTACACTCACAATAAAGAATTATATAAACATACAATTCCTTCTTTTTTTTTCACACATTTTGTTTAGTATACATGGGGGGGGGGGGGGGGAGAGGGGGATTGAACCCCACAAATAAGGTGCCAGTTCAGGTAGCCAGACCAACCGGGCAACAGTGATCCCCCGCAAAAAAGCACGCACACATTAGTTTTAATATATTATAAACTACACAGTTTAAGAATCAACGGTGGCATGCAAACAATGAAGAAGAAAAATAAAAAAGAAGTATTCCACATTGGAAATAATTTCAAATGATAAAGGCAAATTTAACCATTTCCTTACATCTGAACATGGACAATCAATCAATCATAATCAGGATACTCCAAAAATATAAATGAAACTGAAAACAAAGGCGACTCTAATCATAATAAGGAAACCATGTCCGCCTGCCCCAGATAAAAAAGAAAAGAGGCAGAACATAGATAAATTTTACATAAGACAGGGACAAAGAGGCAAGAAGGTGAAGAAAATACTTGAACAACAAAATTGCACAATATAGATGCTAAAAACTGACAATTAGCCAAAAATCCAGGTAGCTGAAGTTGACAATCAAGAGAAAATCAAACCTTGGGAGATGTAACATAGGTGATATTGGTAGAGGCTGAGGAGAGGAGAGACAATGTACAGAGGCAACGGAGGCTGGAGTTGATACCGTGAAGACAAACTGGAAAGCAGATATAGGATTGAAGTTGAAAACTAAGAGGGGCATTGTATGCAGAGCAAAAAGTGAAACAGGAACTTACAACTAAAATATTTTTCGGTCACCTTTTCGATTAAAATCAAATAATGCACACTCCTTATCTTTATTCCGTAGACAAACCAGCTAGAGATATGCATTCAACCTTGTCATGGGACAAACGAATTGGATAAAGAATTGTTAGCTTTTGTACTACAATAGAAAACCGAGTATTTCATCTTAAGATCTCGAGCCAAACTTTTCCTTCTAGTCTTCCCAAGCTGCTTTACAAATTTAATGAAAATTCCAAAGTCTGGCTTTAGACCCTTGTCAATCATTTCATTGAGAATGTTTTGAGCAGCCATAATGTCTCCTTTCTTCTGATTAAGCCTCACAAGCAAGCTGTATAGTGTATTTACACTGTGGTTATACTTGGCACTCATGTCAATCACATACTTATATGCTTTCTCACGCTCTCCTGCTTCAAGCAAAACTTTAAGAAACGCAGCATGAGTAGTAGAACGTGGTTTCACATTCACATTTACCATCAAATTCATAAATTCAGAGGCAAACTCAACCTGACCACGACTAGATAAATGATATACTAAAGTTTCAAAAGTAATCGCATCTGGATTGAGACCCTTATTTCTCATTTCTTCGAGCACAATACGCACATCTTCCAGCTTATCATTCTTACACAATGAGCCAAGCAGGTAATTATATGACTTGGTATTAGGAGAACAACCAAATTCAGACATCTCTTCGATAATTGCTCGTGCTTTTTCAATTTGGCCTGCCCGACACCTTTTACGGATCAAAATATTGTAGCGAGAAGCTGTTCTTTCGGTGATCTCTATTACAAATGTTGCCATTTCGAACAAGTCCAAACTACAAAACATCTCGATTAATCCGTAAACACCAGAACCACAGCAGGATCCTCCAACCTCAATTAGCATATCAACCACTTTCTTTGTCGAATTCATCAATGAATCCTTACAAGATCCAAATACAGTTAAGAACCCAAAAGCCTTGTCAGTCAAACAAGTTTGTTCAGTCTTAAACTCCTCCAACAAAGAGAACATTGTTTTATAGTCATCTAACCATCCACAATTACAAATAATCAGACTATTGACATAAGCACTGCGGTGAAATTCAGGATGTGAGTCCCGAAGCCAATTAAAGAACTTCAATCCAGATATTCTTTGTTCATTCAAAAGGTCAAATATCTCTACGACACACTTGAACGATAGTTTTGAAGCCACCAAAATTAACTGTTGCCTCACATTCTGCCCACCACCCCTGATTATCTCAACTATTTCCAAAACTTCTTCTGAATACACCCTTACCGAGGGATTTGCACTCTTTTTGATTGTGAATTCATTCGTACAAGAACCTGCCACATTCTCAATCTTTTCATTATCACAAGAAGACATAATTATGAGGTTGAACACAAACACCTAGAGCAAGGTTCAGCAACAATGGCCCAAACAAAATAAAATATAAGAATAAACTAAGCACCTTGGTCTCCAATACTGCATACATGTATGCACTATGAAATATTCTTTCCTACAGGCTACAAATTGGGAATCGATCAAAATAGCTGTCTAGAACTATCCACACTAAATATTACTAAAAGAAGGTTATTTTGAATAATGGATGAATGGATATTCCATTTTGAACGAGATCCAAAAGGAAAATTGGTCAAAGAAAGAGACCTTTAGGTGGTTCTCAATGAAACAACATCTTGTACTAAGCTGAATTGGACATGTCTGAAGGAGTAGCTTGAAATGATGTGATTGGAGAACACCAACTTGAATGACTGAGGTAAAGAAATTTGCAACCATTTAAGCTATTGCCTGGATGATGCAGAAAAAACTGGGACTTGAGTCATGTCAAGCATTTTGAGTTCAACATTGCAGCCTTTTACTCAAAAAACTTTCTTTTTTTCCTTCACTCTGCTGCTGCTAGGAGAAAACTTAGGTTGCGACAATGGGTGAATTCTCCCTAAACACTGGTGGCTACACAAGAACTGCAGAATGTATTATCTCAACTTAGACCATAAGGTTTGAGAAAAATACTCCCTCTGTCCCTATTTAATTGTCCACTTTAGAAGTGACACATATTAAGACACCAATTATTATTATAAGTTAGTTACAAGTTTACCCTTAACTTAAAATCTAATGCAACTCCCCAAGTATAATAAATATATTTTCTGGTTCCAAAAAGCATGCATTACAACTTAGTAGTAGTACTACAAATTTTCTAGAATTACAGATATAAAAAGAAATATGGATAAGTAAACAGGGATAGAGGGAGTAACATTTACACTCCCTGGAATCTACCCTCTTTTTAGCTAAACTTTGTCCTAATATGTACTGTTTCAAGTATGAACATCGGAATAATGCAGAATGATATTGAACTTATCTTCACGAGTAACCATGTTTTTTGAAGTCTTTAACTTGGGGCAAGGAATGTTCTTGCTTAAGCTAAACAAGAAACATAAAAATAACATGTTTACCTAAGTAGGCTTGCTTACCTATCAAGTTTGGAGCATGACAATTAAGGCTAGTCACCACTCAACAAATAGTGCACCTTTTATGAAACAAATGAGAATGAACATAAGACTTTACAACCAAACCATATAGCACAAATCTTTTACAGTGTTCTAAAATAAAAAAATAAAAAATAGGAAGTAAAAAAATTGCAGCTTTTAGAGTAAAACAATCTGAAATAAGCTTTTAAAAGAAATACCTTTAAGAGCTTTCTCTTCCGATTGAAGAAACTTTTTCTCAACTTGAAAACCCTTCATTTCAGTTCCTACATTAACCTCTTCTCCAACATCAAACAGTCGCTCTTCTTTCCCCTCCATATCAAAATTCCAAGGTTTAAAACCTTGTTCTTTTGCCCAAGACCCATCATGAAGAACTTGGTTATCTATTCGCTCATAGTCCGAATCTTTGCCATTGTTGTTACCTGTGGAGAAGAAACATGAGTTGTTGAGTAAGAAATGTGGAAATGAGGATTTAGGGTTTAAGACATGGGTTTCGGGGGAAAGTAGGGTGAACAGTCGGAGATGCAAGGATTTGGAGATAAAACGAGAGAGCATTGTAGAGTCTTCCTTCACACAACAGAAACAGAGGAACAGGAGAAGGTGCTGAAACTGCCTAATTTTATGAATCACATCAAATTACTATCGGTCTGTTCGATTCAACTTTTAAATTTTATTCACATGGTTTATGATTTATCGATTTGTAAAAATGTATAAAATCATTAAGATATGAATTTATCGGTTATTGATTTATCAATTTTTTATCATTATAATTTAACCCATAAGATTTGAAATTAAAAAGAATCACTTAGAAATAAGTTGACAATCCAAATAAACCATACATACGAGTTTACAAGTAACATCTTGCTAAAAAATAATCATTTTTACATTATAAAATAATTAAGTATTTGAGACAACTAAAATTAAAAGTAGGAGATCAAGCTCTAAATCAATGACTTTATATACAAAATGATATATTATTATTTAATTTATAATTGGGGTTATCGGTTAGCCCATTGAGAAAAAACATAATGAGTTTATTGGATATAAATAGTAAAGTAGAAATTGATTTGAAGTAATAATAATAAATTTTATATCAGTGAAAAATAGTCATTATATGAGATATAAGTGATATTAAAGTAATTATATGAATTATAAATTTCATTTACATGTGTGTTTGTATGTGTGTACGCGCTCGTAAAAGAGAGGGGGTTTATTTTTATAAAATATAAATTGGTGGGTCAATTTTTAAAGAAAAAACTATATAACTAGACATATTTCATTGCCATATAAACTTATTTTACCTCTAATTTAAGATTACGGAGGAAAAGAACTTGAAATGCCCTTGAACTATTGAAATTGATATAAAAATATCCTTCATTAATCTATTAGCTTCATAATACCTTTGGTGTCAATCTTTTTGGTAATGTCCTTATTTCAAACAGTATCAGTAGCAAATATAATAATACTTCTCATTTAATTCGTGCCATCACGTGATTCATTAAAAAATTAATCAACTAAATAAATTAAATCTCAATCCAAACACGCATCCATCTATTAAGTTCTACCCGCCCTAACTAGAAATTTGAAATAGTCATAAAATAAATCGCGAATCAATGTTGAACCAAGTACTCACAATATCCATGACGATTTTTACCCAAATACTAGCAGAATTTAACGAAAGTCTCTCCTCAAGATGAGGAGCACACAGGCACTCACTAATTTTGGAGACATTTTAAGGGAGATAGATTTTAACATATTGATTCTTTATAAGATTCTTTTTAATTCAATTATATCTCTAGAATGATAGATAAGTCTTAAAGCATCTATCGTGAAACATGTATTCAACACGTGAACTGAAACATGCCTATAGTATGTATTATTATATATCGAGTTTAAATGTATTATCCTTGTTGCTTTTTTTCTCTTATTAATGGTGTTTAAATATATTATTGTATTAAAGATATTTTAGTTGTATATCCACAATGTGCATTGAATAATCATATAATATGTGTAATGTATTGAATTCAAAATGTATTAATTTAAGTTTTATATAATTACCATGTGCATTAAGATATGCTAATAATATCCTATATAGGAAAACATTGAATTCAAAATGTATTACGAGTATTTTTTTTCTCTTATTAGCGATGTTTAAAATGTATTATATCTAAATTTCAAATGTTATTTTAATATAATTAGAATTATTATCTTAAAGATATGTCAAAATGTATTATATTTTAAAAATAAATTGGACATTTATCTATTTTAAGATATGTTTGACATTATTTTTAAGTATACACATGACCAGTTATAGCTATGCGGAAGAGGGAACCGCAGTGATAGTCGTCACCTTGGTACAAGTGAGTTCATTTGAATTCTCATTGACGGAAATCATACTATTTATACATAATTAAAATAATATTTTATGTGTATATAGTAGATGTTGAATCCTCTTCGGTTACTTCGTGTGTATATTTCTACAAATTTTGAACTCCCTTATTGTATATCCTGACTCCGTCACTGGACTGGCACCTTATAGTTAGAGAGTTTATCTGAATTTCCTTTGCCGGAATATTATATTATATATCATGATTAAATATATAATTTATTATTTATAATAAATGTCGAGTCTCCATTTATTTTATGTGTAATTTTTTAAATTTTAAACTTCCTTATTAAAAATCCCAGCTCTGTTGCTTGTGACTCTGTTTGTTGAGGCTATTTGTGGTAAGAAAAGTAAGGTTAGTCTTTGTAGAGTAAAAGATATGTTATAATTTGTAAATAAAGTTATATTATTTATGTAAATTGACCTTTTTAAAAATTAAAAAATTACTACAAATTTTTATATTTCATAAAAAGCACTCACCATTTATTAATTTCAACAAATATTTATCTACCAAATTACTGAATTAATAACTAATAACTATTCATGTCTGTTATCTATACGAAACATGGCCAAAAAGGAACCATTAATTTTTAATTAGTTATAATTCATCTTGAATCAGTGAAAATAATGAGATATAAGTGATATTAAGGTAAAAGTTATTGCATTCAAAAAAAAGTTTTTGCACATTGGCTATTCAACTGAATAAGAGAGCAGTATAGACTAAACAGTTACTGTGTCAACAAGAGTAGCACAATACACAAGTTTTTGCAGCACAATTAAAGCATACATAACTGAAGTTTTTCTTTTTAGCTATCTGTGAAATTGGTAAATTTTTCATTTCTTATTCTAGCTTGCTTATATTTTGAGCATGTGATGTACTCCTTTATTTTTGTTTATTAATAAAACTGTAGCTAAAGTAACACCAATGTTGTCAAATTTATAAATCCATAAAGCTGAATTTTGGTTATCATACGAACTTTTGACTTTTAACTTATAAGTTATTAAATTTCTAAAGAACTAATGCCCCATTAGAGATAAGTTGGACTGCTCAAGGACAAATTAAAAACCGCCCATTTGAAAGGGAAAAAGTAAAGTTTTTGTGCATACCCTATAGTTATCACCTTATTTTTTTCGTTTTGAGGAAGTCCTTCAGAGTTTGTTCATTCAAATATCAAGAAGTCCAATTTGCAGAATATATATGGTATACAAAGAAACTAGTACACTAGCATTAAGGCCCATATGCAAACACCTAAGGGTCATTTGCTGCTATGTGTAAGAGAAACAATTTAGTTAAGTAAGTATAATTTAGCTAAGAGAAATGGAGATAAAAAAAACTTGATCCTCCCCCCATTCTTTGCTTCGGCATCTTCTTTCTCCAACAATCAAATTCTGTATATCAGAGGGAAGTACCACCGTCATTAGACTATCTTCCTGAAGACAAATTCTTCGAGACTGAGGCCTCTTCTACGAGTGTCCTTCAAGTAACTCTGGGAATCAAGGATCCTTCCAAATATTCCTAAAATAAAGCAAATGAAAACATATGTTCAATGAATATAAAGGGAGTAACTGTAAGAGAAAAAGAAGTGGGGGGAAAGGAGGCTTGTTTCATTTGGTTTCCATTACAGATGTGAATCAATGCTACAAGGAGCTAGCAACATTTTGAAATAGAAAAGCTATCAACTCTCGCTAAATTGCCAAGCTCAGGTGATTCCCTTTTATCGTAAAAAGGTAATCTGTTTACCAAACAGTTTGATATAACCTTTAGTCATTGCTAACACTTCTCTTTTTGCCAAATAGGTGTTCATGTACCAAAATATTGAATCCACTTGTTCAAGTAGTAGCAAGCTTGGCA